CCCACCGTAGTGTCACCTGTCCCTGCCTTCCCTTTAATCCTGACCCATAAGCTCTCGGTCGGCTCCTCATCCATCCCCAGGCAGAGCTCCATGCTCTCCAGCTGGTCATTGACATAGAGGGCGACACCCCCTCCTCGTCTCCCCTGCCTGTCCTTCCCAAAGAGCCTGTATCCCTCCATCCCAACACTCCAATCATAGGAGCCATCCCACCACGTCTCCGTGATGCCAGTAAGGTCGTAGCCCTGCAGGCGTGTGCACGTCTCTAACTCCTCTTGTTTATTCCCCATGCTGCGTGTGTTTGCATGGAGGCGTTTAAGTTGGGCCCCCGATGAAGCTGTCTTACTGTCTGGAGTTCCTTTGTGCTGCTAATGTTTATATGTTTTTCATTTAGATGTTTAAATGTATAAGTGTAAATGTGTAAGTGAATGTTTATATGTTTTTCATTTAGATGTTTAAATGTATAAGTGTAAATGTGTAAGTGTGTGTGTAAGTATAAATATATATAAAAATAAAAAAATACGTAGTTTTGGAATAAGTAATGTCCCGGTCAGTTGCATACATATAGCTTTAGGGGTTACTGAAAGCTGAATAGCAGAGTATGCTCCGCCTTTGGTGTCTAATTTCTCCCCTAGCACAGGAGGAGGGAAGTGGCAGATGGGAAAAGAACAAGCTGTCATTAGAACTAAGAAGCTGAAATGGTTGAGGCTTATAGAAAATGGGAACAGCCTGGCCACCATACTATACGTTGGGTAGAAGTCTCCTGTATTGCTGTGGTCATGACTCAGTATTAATCAAATGGTTTTCTGGCATAGACAAATTATAAGATATGTGGTCAGAAAACCCATCTGAGTGGTTCATGTCTAAGCCCCAGAGTTGGGTTGGGGAACAGTTCCTAATGTGAGGGAACAGAGCTGTTAAATAACGTGTTGGGTGAATCTGCCTTGAAATAAACTTATTACTTCTTCCTAGAGTCAATTGTTTCCAGTTCATAGCTCTGAGCAGGGAAATCCACCTCTGCATTGCAGAATGGCAGGTGCCTCCTAAGCAGCAGCATCTTGTCTATCAGACCTATGTGCTCAGCACGAGTTTACTTGTTTTTGAAATCCTTTGGCAAAGTTAGTTCTAAGTTTTGTCTGCATGTTGTAAACTCAGTATGTCACACATGGTTGAGTCTATAAATAAAAAAAAGTTACTGAAAATTCCTTGGGGAATTAACACTCTTGGGGTGATAGCACAGTATGTGGAGTCAGGTGTGGTGAGTTTTGGAAGAGACTGCATCTGGCTGGGGAGCCTCCCTTGTGAAGGAAAATGAGCTTTGGAGCAGTCAGATAACATTCAAAGGAGGCATGGTGTCAGTATGTCTGTTATGCTTCTTTGGTTTGTATGCTCAGGTTCTTTTTAAGTGAAGATGAAACTTTCCAAGGAAAGGATACAGATGCAAAGTTACATCGGCTGCTTCCAGCAATTCTGTGACTATCCCATACAAGTGCTAT